TATCAGGATTTGTAGAGTCATGACAGGAGGATGCTTAGTTTGTCTCAAAACTCTAGCAAGCATGACCTATGAGACAAATTCCTATCGCGTAAAATTTCATATCCACACCTATACTCGTGGGTAAGATTTTGTGCCCGCACCTTCACCCATCCACTACCGGATTCAGCTTCAGGCACTCGGCAAAGGCCGATATACACTCGGCAAAGCCTTTGCCGAGTGCTCGATAAACAGTTTATTGGCAAAGACCTCTTTGCCGAGTGCACTTTATCGGGCACTCGGCAAATCCTTTGCCGAGTGCTAATCTGACACTCGGCAAAAAAAAGTTGCCGTGACGGCGAGCGCCACCGTGACGGCGGCTTTGCCGAGTGTCAAGGTCAAGCACTCGGCAAAGGTCGCCTCTTTGCCGAAAGCAGCCGCTGACTCGACACTTTCATCGCAAAGGTGGCCCATTGTGCCGAAAGTGCCACCGTCAAGACACTTTCGCAAGCAGGTGACCTTTGCCGAAAGTGCTCGTCCCGTGGCACTTTCGGCAAATCTGTGATGTTTGCCAAGTGCAATGGCCTGTGCACTCGGCAAAGCATGTTCCCAGGCATGTTCTCAGGTCGTCACTTTGCCGAGTGTCATGGCCATTGCACTCGGCAAAGTGACTGAAAACAACCTTTTTATTTGTTTTTTACATTCCATCCAAACAAACAGAAGATATATATAACAAATATCACCAACATCACATATATATCATCAACAACACATATATATCACCAACATCACATATATATCATCAACAGCACATATATATCACCAACACCACATATATATCACAAACGTCACATATATATCACAAACGTCACATGTCTCACAATATATCACAAATAAGTTCACAAGTAATCCAAGTGCTCCATCATCTACAACCACAATTGCAAATAGAAGTACCATTAACAACCACAAGTATCATCACCAAGATGGCCAATGAGACTAATTTGGTGAAGGATTCGCTGAAGCATGAGGATCATTCGATGCCACCGATTGATTCTGCACAAAGGAGAAGAGATTGCATGTGTGAGATAAGATAAATATATACCATACATGAATAAAACTTTCATACTCCACTAGGTTTGACCATAAGCATGAACATACAAACTAAAACATTTATACTCACAGGAGTAGAATAGTGAGGAGGTGGAGTTGGAGGTGGAGCGAATAGCGAAGGTGTCGGAACTACACCCGTTGCGGCGCCAAGACTTTGCATGTACTGAAGAATCTCCGCCATCCTCCATTTGCTCGGCCTCCACCTCTCCACCTTCACTTTGCATCCGCTCCCAGATCCTCCTCTCTTGTTCCAAATTTAGGCCTACAATATATTCACCCCAATGTTACAATAATGCAAAGGAAAGGTATGAAAAAAACCAATGAACACGAATAAACTAGAAATAACCTCGAGTGCCTCCACCCGGTGGTGTGAAGTGTCCTGTCGAGGTCGTATGGTCGGGCTCACCGCTCGCGGCCGCTTGCTCGAATCTGGGAGAGGCGGGAGTAGTGGTCGAGTCGATTGTATTGTCGCTAATCCAGTACCACCCATGCTTCTTGCCTCCTCCCACCCTCATGACGACTTCTCCATCAAGGTCCTCGATGCTCGGATCGTACTTTGACCCATGGACCTCCCTTGCCATCGATGTGTACTCACTGAGGCGGTTGTGGACGGTCGCATTGCTGTACGCCTCGGGCCTATCCTTCGGGTTGTAGTCGACGTCGGACGTCGCCTTGCCCTTGTGGGCCATAGCAAATGCCTTGAAGATGGAGCAAGGCTGGCCACCATGTGATGCCGACTGCGAGAAAAACAGAAAGATGATTAGAAATCATGCAGAATTGAGTGTTAGAATAAATAAATGAATTCGCGTAACCATGTTTCTGCGTATCCGCTGAGGTTGCGGCTGCCTTGATGGTGTGCTACACCTGGCATCATCAAACGCCGCTCCCGACACAAGTTGTGCGTCTCCTCCCACTCGCGTGAGCACCACTTGTCCACCATCTGTTCCCAGCACTGGGGATGCGCGGCGCACCAATAAGGAATCATCTACAGGCCATCAAGTACATGACATATTAGAAGATGAAATTAAGCCTACTTAATCTCAAAAGGAATAAGTATTAATGTTCTGTATTTACCTGCAGGTACTGGTCCCGGGTCAGCATCATGGTTCTTGTGTCCCTTTTGGTGACCTTCGTTCCAAGGACGGTCCCGTGGTAAGTTACAACGGCCTAGATGCGTGCCTCGTAATGCATGTCCACGACGAGTTTTTTGCAGCATTTGGTAGCCACCGTATCCGCCCTGCCCTCATGTTCGTCCTGACATCTAAAGAAATCCTGCATACAAACACGATGTATCCATTCATTATTTCAAGAATATCCAATGAATGCGATGTATTGAGCAATGTAGTGCGAGGAAGACTTACTCACAGCTCTTGCTTCACCCCCTCCGCCTTGTTGTTGAATACCCTGCGGGCCCGATCTGCAGCATCGGGGGTGGCGGCGTAGTGGTCAAACGAGTAGGCCGGCCCCGTCACCCCAGCGTACTCAACCAGGCCAGGGAAATGCTCCTTGCATAGAAGATCGAGGATGCCATTGACTTGGCGTGTGTGACCACCTCCACTCGCCACAACTGTCCAGTTCTTGCCCAAGTGATTAAGAAAAATTATTAGTTTCTATTTTGATTTTCAACATATCATATAAAGTAGTGATAACATCTAAAGTTACTTACTTTTTCCCCTCATGTCGAATCAACGGGCGTCTCTCACGAGGTATCGGTCGCTAAGGGAGGCTCGCGGGACTTCGCAAGTAGACGCTCGACGAACTAGAGGAAGCGGAACCCCCCGTCGTCGCCTCCTCCTCGTCGTCCTCCTGCGCCTCCTCGGCGTCCTCCTAGGGCACCTGCTCCTCCTCCTCCTCACGCGACGGGGCGGCAGGCGACGACTCCCTCCTGCGGCTGCTCCTCCTCCTCCTCCCACCGCCCACCATCTTTTCTGTGGCTTATAAGTCGGCTGATGCACCCACACATTCAGTGTGGTATTAATAACACTCCTACACATATTCCAATTATCCTACCTAGCTTTAAATTGTTAAATACTTCAACCAGGCAAGAAATTGTTGTAAATAAAGATATGTTTGTTTAGAGATAATTAGAGATGGAAACAAACTCTAGGATTCTTTCCAACAGAAATGTCAGGCAGCTCACATCAACTTAAGTTTGTTGCCTTATGCCTTGATTTGTAATATGAGTAGCCATGTGTATGATAAAAACTTGAAAGCTAATAATATAATCACTTCTAGGAATTTGACTAGCATCTTCATTACTTCTGCATTTCAATGCGACTGACAAAAATTAACCCAAGTGGACCATCAAGTGCTCTTGGCATTAAAAACTTCCATCAATTTTTCTGACAGTTATTTAATGTAAGAGATATCTCGGTCTGCAGATGGGTAACAATAGATTGCCTTGAAATCAACGATAAGACTTGCAAGTCCCTTTTCTATTCTTGGCCATGCTTGCTTATTTCTGTTCTTGGCCATGCTTGCTTGGATAAGCTTTGGCTTCAGCCTAGCTCGCATTGATGTTCTCGGCAGTTGGGGTGGATGGGAATCTACAATCCCTTTTCTATTCTATCTAGGATTAGATGGCTTGAATCTAATTATGTGCGGATTGTGTTGATTTCTTAATTCACTTATAGCTGTGTGATAAGAGTCATCTTGAGGGGGAGGATATGCATGCTAGAACTTCAGGGAGTGTCGAATCGGGAATCAGGTTTATCGGTGCGTAAACTTGTTGATATGAGCTAAATGCTTGCTGAAGCATCTTTCCTATGAGGACCCCGACAACTGACAGGCACAAAATTAATGATTTATAATGCTGATCCACTCTTGGTAAAACAAAAGTTTTCTAGAGTATTTTTTTCAGAGTCCAAACATCTGAGATGTAAAAAAACTGGCTGATGACGATAATGAGATAATCCACTGAAACCAGATACTACTTGGCACTCTGCCTGCAATAGATGTAAATCTGTATCTGATAAAGGAGTAGAATTGCCACCAATTACCCTTGTTCTTTAGCTTGTCATTGTCAATTCAGCTAATTCAGTGCTAGCTACTTGCCACAAAGGTTAATTAGGTGTCCGTTCATCTGATTTCTCAGACGCAAAATGTTGTTTGGAGCTCAGTTACAATTTGGGATATAGGATAACTACAACTATGGACACATACTGAAATCCTCACCCACAAAATTATACATGCCTGCACGCCAAACAATTACATAGGAAACTAATAGATAGTTACAAGAATTTCTATGGTGCAATTGCAACTTGGAAAAAAACAGCTTTAGGACTAGCTGCTGAAAATGGGTACTGTACTTTGCAGAGAACAATGCGCTAGAAAATAGCAAGAGCTCACAACTGCTACTAAAAATACAGAAAACAACAATGTTGGCTGAACTCAGGTGTAGCTGAAGAAACAATGCTCAAGCAAACTGATCAGTCCAACTTGAAGCAGCAGAACAACAAAGTACATTTCTCAAGCAAAGAGAATAAATTAAGCTTCAGTCAGCGACTAATGATTGCTTGAAAAGATGGTTCCCTATTGCATCAAAATGACATAACAAAAGGATGAAGCCTTGGTAGCCAGTTGTTACACACACGAACTGAGCAAAGTCTCGTGCAAACTTGACAAGCGGCGCAGGATATTAATTCATACAGAGCAAGATTAAGGCTACAACTCTCACGAGGATTAAATAAATCAAATAAGTGCTTGCAAGAATGAAACCTGAAGAAATCAAACTCAAGCATCCAACATTCAGATATTGCAAACAGGAGGATTTTCATTCACACCGAGTGCTTACCAAAAGATCAAACAATGATTCACAACACTAGAGATAATACATCGAGTTCAACAGATAATAGAAAAGTTGCACACAATACATTTATTCAACTCTAGTTCAACTCAAGTTTAACACACGCTCCTTAGTCTTCATTGTTCGAGGGCTGATGAATCCTCTCTGCGCTCCATGATTTGCCGCATTTGCATGCCGGATAATAGTTTTTCAGATAAAGGGGGACCTTCTCAATGTCAACTGACATAATACTAGACTCAGCTGATATCAGGTGAGCCTCTGACTCCTCTCTAATCGCATTTTCCTTCTTTTTCTGTTGTACACTCATCTTCATATGCTTCTTCTGAAGGTTGAAAAGATCCTTTTGAATTCTAATTTTTTCATCCTTCCTACTAAGGATTTCAGTCATTTGCTGATCTTGCTTCTGTTCGGTCTTCTCTGATTTCTCCTGCAACCGTTGGAGGACTTCAACAGCTGTACTAGATGACGATGTCTCTGTGAAGCTCTTTGATCTACGCCTCTTCGCACTATCCCTACCCTCAAGACATGATGTGTCTATATTCTCATTCCCAGATTCTGCATGGCCAGCCACACTATGGCTTTGAGTTGGAGATGACATTCCATCCGGTGATGTACAGTTGTTTAGCTCAAGAAACTTATTGTTCCATTTGGCCTCATCAAGCGAAGTTTTTCCCAGCAATGCATGATGGTAAAAGGTTCGTCCTCTCGTACATTTGTACAAAAGATCATCAATCATACATATGAATATAGACTAAACCGATTCAAAAAATAAACATATGAAAATTAGAGATGGAGGACAACATGAGTGGAAGTATACCCGATCCCTGCTCATTTTTTCCGCTCTCATTCAGCCTATCAATAGCTTCTTTGTGCCCACAGAACTTGTTCATCGCTTTCTGAATCAATGCCCACCTATGCTGAATTGCAATCTGGCTACGGTTGGACCCTTCAGGCTTATGCTCATTGAAATAATCATGCATCCTCTTGTAATAACCACCTGAAGTCTGATTCGTACCTGCATGTTATGCCACCATGTTATTTGGGCATCAAAGGGTCAAAGATTTCTTAAAAGACGTTGCAAACTATTACCAGTAATAGGGTCTTTGCTAATATTCAGAAATGCCGAACACACCACCAAGTCCTCTTTGGTGAATGCAGTTCCTCTCCTGGACACGTTTTTCTTCTTTGCGGCCCTCTATGATTTCAATGATGGAGGGTCCTGAGAGCCATGGGTGTCGTCAATGGAGAACCCCTGACTAAGTTGCCCATTCATAGGTGGGTAGGACATCTGGGAGGAGCCATGCATGTTGAACTAGTGATGAAAAGAACTGTTAATCATTGATGTATTGATATGTAAATAGAACAAACCATCATGCATGGCTGCAATAAACCTGGGGGTTTGGAGGAACATCCAAAGATTGCAAAGCAGCAGAATAACCAAAAGGCCATTGATCTGCCCCAAAGATTTCTCCAGATTCGCCAACGCGACCACTTGTGCCACTAAAAATGTTATCCATCGTCCTGTTCAAAGAGATTGAATAATGGTGATGCACAACAAGAAGCAAAAGAATATATCATATGCACGATGCATTTGGTTTTCCATCCATAGGCAATTTGGTCCCTATCTAAAACCAATGCAAATATATATATGCCACGGGAAGTAGTCAACAAAACAAGTCTTCTACAGTATTTAATATTATTTAGTTTAAGATGTCTCATAGAGTAACACGGACACTTCCTTCCTTGCAAGCCCATCACCAATGTCACAAGCTTGAAAGTGTAGATGAATCGTAGTTATTCAGCAAGAATATGTAATCAAAGGCAAGGTAAGCATATACTATTTTGAAGTGGAAAAACAGTTCAGTGGAAGAAGCCAAGTACTAGGATGTCGGATGCGATTTAAGAACGCTGTTCCACTTTTAGCAACCCATCACCACCACCAGAAAAAAAGCCCTAAGATCTGCGAGCAACAATGGACCTGCAGTTCGGGCAGATGCAACACATCAGCACATAGTGGTAGTAGGAAGGAAGAGAAAATAGATGCAAAGTACACCGAAGTGTAAAGTGAAAATTTCACAAGCCTCATGAACCCACAGAGTGACAAGGATCCTAGAAATCTAGAGCACTGGGAAGAATCAGAGGTTCCAGTATTTTCTATTGAATCCACATCGGACAGTACCATAGCGCACACCAAGAACTACGAATCCTCCAAAGCTATATGCGAATCACAGTGCTCTGTTTTCCAAATAGATAACCCAACTAAAAAAACGTCCATTGCCGCAAGAACAAAATATGAGGCGAACTCTCATAGAGAAACCTACCTGAGGCGAAAGCCACGAAAGCGGAATTATGTCGCCATCATAAGCGCCCGAGTTCCTCGGACGGCGACGGCAAGGCGCGCAGCGCGCGACTCCGGCCGCAGCAACCGCAAAAGAAAGGCAGGGCAGTAGGGAGCCATAAGAACCTCCGGTATGAGAGACAAACGTGAGATTCGAGATCTAGGATTCTAAGCGGGAGGGCGAAAGCGAAGTTCAGTATTCAACCTGGAGAAGGAGATAAAGAACGAGGGCTACTACTACCACCAGCGGGAGGCAGCGGCCCGGTGGGGCGGAGGATCCGTACCTCGCGAAGCCTAGCTCGGTGCAGATCTCGCCGACGGCGACTTCGCCAGGGCGCTTCTTTTCCTTCCAGCGAAAGCAGTTGCGCGCGGTTCTTGTGGCGTGGCATGAAGATATGGGTCGATGAGAGAGCGGACACTTATTTGGGTTGCCATTGACACCGACACATACTGCGTCTTGGTTTGCCTACTCAGTTGGACCTTGTTTTTTTCATCGGAACCAACATGGACTATGCATGTTTAGGTTTGGGTGAGGCCGTTGAGACCGTCTAAGAACTAAACTTTGATACGTGTGTGGAACTAGTCACTCGCTCCACCAGCCACACAAAGAGTGAACCCGACTTGAAGCAAGCTCAAAGCAAGCCGTATTCAGTCAGACAACACGTGTACAGAACACATGGAACCATTGCCGTTTGGTTTGCTCGAGATACAATTCCATAAACGAAATACACAACTCATGTAGTAACATTCGCATATGTATATCCATGAATTACTTATAACGATCAATTAACAATCGGACTAACATTCTGCTAGCAAAATTTATCCATAAAATTAAAAAAAAAAACAAATACACAACTAATGTAGTGAATCCTCGTTGCTAAGATCGATAAATCAAAACCGCGAGAAGCAACTATTACCTGGTGCCGCCTTCGCCGCAGGACGGGGCGTCGGAGAAGAAGCGCTGCCAAGCTCTTGGCCTCCTCTCCTCCTCCTCCTCTCTTTCTCCTCCTCCTCCGGCGGTGCGAGTGCGGACGGTGGCGGCGGCAACTCTGGCGTGGTCTGCCCTGCGTGCGTGTGTGCGGTGTGTGTGGGCGGCTGGGCGGGCGGGTTAAATCCCCTTTGCGAATGCCCCTGATCTGGTACTTTCGGCAAACTATTTTAATTTTTTAAATTCTTTCTTTGAGTGCCACCCGGCTGGCTTTTCGGCAAAGAGGGAGTTCTTTAAAATTTTTAAAATTCTTTGCCGAGTGCCATACGTCCTGACACTCGGCAAAGTGGTGATTTGCCGAGTGTCATTTTTTGACACTCGGCAAACTATATTTTTTTCTTCACTTTTGACCTCCAAACTTTTTCTGCAGTCCTCATACAATACCTGGTACTCCATGTTTCAATGTGGCACATTTCTCGGACTTTTTCTATATTTCTTTAATTTATTTCATTTAATTGAAGTTTCTTTGATAATTCAAATTATAACCGCTAGTCATTCGAACAATGAAAAAAATGAATGGAAAAATGATATTCATGTTATTTAGTATAATGTGAGGCCGTATCCTAGAATAGACCACCAATTTCGAACATCTTGTTCACGAAACACGACCACGAACTTGCGGTCGAGTTGTTTTTAAATTCTATAAAAAGCAAACGAAGACCAAAAATCTTGAAACTTGTGGAGATGTCATGATATCATATGTGGAGGCTGTGATAAAAAATTAAGGAGGTTTCGCACAAGTTTGTCACGTACGATGCTTACCACCTCGTCGCCCTCTTCACGAAATCATGAAACTTCTTGGAGATTCTTTGG